AGTGACAATAAAGCCATTCTAAACGGCGTAGGGTTTCCTGCCTAGGCAGGGGGTCAGACTAGAAGACCTCCAATATCCCTTCCAACTCTATTATTCCATTCTAGGAAAGTCCAGATGCCTTCAGGAAAAACAAAAAAAACACCTTTGGGACATTTATGCAATGGAATTTCATTTTAATCCAGGCCGATGAGGGCACGTTCAGAGTGACAATAAAGCCATTCTAAACGGCGTAGGGTTTCCTGCCTAGGCGGGGGGTCAGACTAGAAGGCCTCCAGGGTCCCTCCCAGTTGAATTCTGATTCTAAACCAAGGGTTTGTCACTTTGCAAGTGCCAGTTGGCAAGGCAGAGGGCTAAGAAGGAGACTTCTTTTGGGGGGTGGGAGAGGTGGGAGTAAAGGACCGTTAGGTTCAGGAGAAACAAGTCCTTTCGGCGTCAATGCCCACAAAACAGGGCGAAGACGGGCAAAGTGACTGGCTGTTTCCCTTTGTGGTTTCCTATGCGGAAAGCCGGTTTCCCACCACAGGCATGGAAGGGCCTGCTAGATCGGGCATGACCCAGGCTGCTACAGATGGGGGAATATTCCTCTATATTTGAAATATATGACCTTAAAACAGAGGTCTCCAAACTTGGCAACTTTAAGACTTGTGGCCTTCAACTCCCAGAATTCTCCAGCCAGCAAAGTTGAAGGCCACAAGTCTTAAAGTTGCCAAGTTTGTGGGGACCCCTGCCTTAAAATGTCTGAAACTCAATCTAAAGTTTATTTCCCACCCGAATGGTTTGCATAAAACTAAAAATTTTGAGGGATACTTTAAAAAAGACAGACATCTTTTTTTGAAACAACACTTTTGGACAACAGCAAGAGCTCAAAACTTGTGGGCCTGGGGCAGAGGATGGAAAGGGGTCCTTCCACACCGAAGAGAATATTGGTAGCTCAGGGTTGGATTCGGGTGCTCTTTGAGCCTGGCTGTTTTCTTGCAGACCTTTCACGACCCCACGGGGTCACATCATCAGCACGAGCGAGTGTGCGGGTTTTTGTTCCCCGACACTTTCTTTGATGTTGGGCATTGTTTTGGACTTGTTTGTCTGGACTTAATCCTTGCTTGTCTTGGGTGTTGACTGATGTGGTCTGGCTTTTCTGTTTTCTTCTTAGCTTTTTATTGTCTCTTTTGAATGATGTGTAAATGTAGTTTATCTTTATGTGTCAGATGATGGCTGATCGGTCTGAATACCGAGCTTCTGGGAATCCTAGAGCATTTTGGAGGGAGCCTAGGAAACTTATACCGTATTTCCCCATGTATAAGCCACCCCTTTTTTCCAAAATTTTCAAGCCCAAAAAGTAGGGGGGTGGCATATACAAAGCAGGTACACTTTTTATACGTGAAAAATGCATAAAATAATAAAGTAGGAATAAACTGGTTTTCCAGCAGTATGCTATACTTTTTTGTAAAAATTGTACGTGATGATACGATTACGAGTGCGAGTACGCGATAGAAATGCATACGCTAGGCATCGGCCTGAATGCTTCGTTCCTACTCTCGTTCCGATGCGTAGATTGCTAGCGTCGCCCGCACCGCTTTCGGCGTCATGACCGAAGTTGTAGATCTAGACGTCGAATTTTGTTTCTTTGTAAATTTTCTTTCTTCATAACTTGTTTCTCTAATAAAATATTTTTTTCAAAACTTCACAGTCCAAAAATTGGGGGGGTGGCTTATACAAAGGGGGTGCTTATACATGGGGAAATACGGTAATCCTACCAAATAGGGACCAAGCCCCATATTCCCTCATAGCGGATGATGTTCCCCAGTCACATAACGAACTGCAAGAAAACGAACAAACTCAGAGAGCAACAAGGCCTCCACAATCCCTCTCTCTCTTCCTTCTCCTCCTCTTCCTTTTCTTCCTCTTCCTCTTCCTCCTCCTCCTCCTCTTCCCCCTCCTCTTCCTTCTTTTCTTTCTCCTCCTCTTCTTCCTCCTCTCCTCCTCCTCGTCCCTGCAAACCCCCCTCCCTTCTAGCACTGATAACGTTACCTAGTTGGGTAAAGACTCGGTTACCATAAACCTCCAACCTCAGAGAGCATCAAACGTGCCAGAAAGCTGTGAAATGAGGGAAATGGGCACTTAGGCAAACCTGCGCAGAGGGAGCCAGTACTCCTTCTGCAGGGACACCTGGGACAGCATCTCCGTCTGGGTCAAACCCAAACCTCCGGTAAGCTTCCCGGTTGGACGGGAAAAGAGCTCAGCGAAGGAGCCGAGCGACGGTGCAGCTCATGGACGCTCACCTCAGACTAAACAAGAGATGATAACCTCAAGGGGCCCCTGGAAGAAACTCTTGCCCAGAAGCCACAAAAACGCTGACAACCCACATCAAGGCTGCATTGCTAAGACCAGTTTAAAAAGTTAAAAAAAAAAACCTCCCTCTTAAACTCCAGAAGCCAAGAGGTACCTGAATCCAAACGAGTTTGTCAAGAGGTCCACACTGACACGCCTTCAAAAGAGACAATTAATATATATATATATCTAGGAAGGAAAGCCAAACGCCAGCGCTGGTCCCTTCCGGCAGACAGAGAAGCAGGCATTGGCACCAGACCAATGACCAGGCAGAAAACAATAATCAAGGACTAGACAAGGAAGAAACCACAACGCCACCAAAGCCGGCAGGACCAGCTGCTGCCGCCTGTAACAAGGGAGGGAACACCCCCCTCCCTGGCACTGACGGCGTCCCCCAGTTTGGTAATGAAACATCTGCCAGCAAACCACCAAGGTCAGAGAGAACTTCTCCAGAACTTCTGGCTTCTTAGGAAGCGGAGGGGTGTCGGCAGGTGGGGTCTACGACAACTCGCCCTGACCAGCTCGCCCCCACCCAACCGCTGCGGCCAATGTGCTGCGGCCAACTTGCTGCGGCCAACGTGCCACGGGAAAAGGGTCACATCAATATGGAAGAAATGGTGGAAAGAATCACTCGGGAAAGGATGTCAAAGGAGGGAACGAGATGGAACGCAAAACAAACTTCTAATTATTTTAAAGAATTACACTGAATTGTTGAACTGTCCCACGGTGAGTAATGGTGTGTGTGTGTGTGTGTGTGTGTGTGTGTGTGTGTGTGTCATTCCATCAAAGGTCTGGAGAGTAAAATGGATGAAGAACGGCTGCAGGATTTGGGTCTGGCTAGTCTAAAGGAAGGAAGAAGAATAGCGGGGAAATGACAGCAGGATTCCAGTAGTTGAGGGGCTGCCCCAAAGGAGAGGCAGTCCAGCTCTTCTTCTCCAAAGAGCCCCCGAAGGCAGGACAAGAAGCAACGGATGGAGACTTAACCGAGGAGAGAAGCAACCTGGAATTGAGGAGAAAATTTCTTGACCGTGAGGACAATTAACCCGTGGAACAGCTGGACTCCAGAAGTTGCTCCACCACTGGAGGTTTTGAAGAAGAGGCTGGGTAACCATTTGCCTGAAATAATATAGGTTCTCCTGCTTGAGCAGGGGGCTGGACTAGACGTCCTCCAAGGTTCCCTTCCAGCTCATTCCGTTCCATTCCAGGTCTTAACGGCAGACTCAGCCCAGAGGCTGCCTTGGGAACTGGGGTGGGCAGCCAGGTCCCTTGGGGGTCTCTGCTAGACAGACCCTGCACAAGGCGGGACCAAGGATGGGACCAGGACGGGGTCTGCTCTGGTACCTACTTTGGGTCTCCTCCGGGGCAGGTCAGGGCCACGTCTCTCCCCAGCTCGGCATAGGTCACCCCTGGAAGGAAAGGCCCAGGGCGTGAGATTGGGGGCTCCACTGCTTGAGGGACCTTCCCTCCCCCTTCGGAAGGGTGGTGGGTGGTGCCCCCGCCCCCCCCGCCCTGGTAGAATGTGGGGCTCACCTTCTTCTCCCCATTCTCCGGATGTGGGGACAGAGGCCGTTGCGAGCACCATGGCCAAAAGGACCAGCCCTCGGCTCACCCAGCCGGTCCGGCTCAGCATCTGAGGGGCCAAAAAGCGGGGGGGGGAGAACAACATCAGGGGGCGGATGGCTCAAGTGGGAATGCTGTCGGGGTCTCTGATCCAAACCAGGTGACCCTTCCTTCCTTCCTTCCTTCCTTCCTTCCTTCCTTCCCTTCCTCCTTCCTTTCTTCCCTCCCTCCCACCCTCTCTCCTTCCTTCCTTCCTTCCTTCCTTTCTTCCCTCCCTCCCTCCTTCCTTCCTTCCCTTCCTACTTCCTTTCTTCCCTCCCACCTTCCTTCCTTCCTTCCTTCCTTCCTTCCCTCCCTCCCTTCCTTTCTTCCCCTTTGGCTGCCACAGAGAGGAGGTCAACCTGTTCTCCATAATTGAATAGAAGAGAGCAGGGGGTTGGACTAGAAGACCTCCAAGGTCCTTTCCAACCCTGTTATTCTGCTATTCATCTCCTCCCTCCCTCCTCTTCTTTTTCCTTCCTTCCTTCGTCATTCCTATCCCATTCCCTTCTTTCCTTCTCTTCTCTTCTTTTTCCTTCCTCCCTCATTCCCTTCCTTCCCTTCTCTCTCTTTCTTTCCTTTCTTTCCTTCCTTCTTCCCATCCCATTCCCTTCCTTCCTTCCTTCCTTCCTTCCTTCCTTCCTTCCTTCCCTCCTCATTCCCATCCCATTTCCTTCCTTCCTTTTCTTTTCTTTTCTTTTTTCTTTCTTTCTTTTTCCTTTCTTCCTCATTCCCTTCCTTTCTCCTTTTCTTCCTTCCCTTTTTTCCTTCCTTTCTCCTTCCCTTTTTTCCTTCCCCTTTTTCCTTCCTTCCTTCCTTCCTTCCTTCCTTCCTTCCTTCCTCCCTCCCTTTCCTTCCCTTTCCTTCCCTTCCCTTCCCTTCCCTCCCTCCCTCCCTGCAAAGAGATCCACCCCAAAGATCCGGGAGGGTCAGGCTGCCCAAGGGACGAGGGGCTGGCTGACCAAAACATCCTTCGCTGGTGACACTTCACCAAACTCCCACAGCTGCTCCCGCTGGGCAAACCTTGGCACCGGGAGAAACGGGTGGCAGGAACGGAAACAGAGCCGCCCCTCCCGCCTCGGGGCAGGTGTCCCATTTGGGCCTGGCTGGTTTCAAGCGACAAGTGGGGGAGGTGCTCCCCCCACCCCCCCAAGACTGGCATTGACACTCAGACCCAGAAAGGCAAAGTGCTCCAAACTCCATTGCAGGAAATACGGCCTCAGCCACAGAGCAGCCAATACCTGGAACGTTCCACCTCAGGGGTCTCCAACCCCTGGGCCACTTTAAGACTTGTGGCCTCCAATTCCCAGAATCCCTCAGCTTAGCTGGCTGAGGGATTCTGGGAACTGAGGAATTCTGGGAATTGGAGGCCACAAGTCTTAAAGGGGCCAAGGTTGGAGACCCCCTGCTCTACCTGACTCTGTGGTTTCTTCCCCAAACAGTTTAACCTCAGACTGTCTATCGTAGACCTCGCCCCCTTCTGAAGAGGCCTGCAAGGGGCGTGCACAAGCGCACCACCATGCCCATCGTCCTTGTCCTAATGTCCACGGTTAGTCGTATCCATTTCACGGATTTGTAATCATGTTTATACTTATACCCGTTATCTAATACAAATAAAATAAATAAAATAAAACAGAACCGCAAACTGGACAGATGCCACTGGCAGAGGTCCAGTTCTGCCCCCAATTTCCACTCCCCCCAATTCTTGGCCTAGCACAGGGACCCCCAAACTTGGCCACTTTAAGACTTGTGGGCTTCAACCCCCAGAATTCCTCAGCCAGCGATGACCTCTGGTTCTAGCCGATGGGGGGGTATTCCTTTGGCCTGTTGGTCAAGACTCGTTTCCCCTCCTTGATGATCAAAAGAATGCCCCAAAAGATGAACCAAACGAGACTCCACACTCACCGGTCCCTCCCTTCCTTTTTCAGCCCCCCCCCCAATCTGAGCTCCTGAAACCCGAGGCCCAGCCTCCCCCCTCCCTCCCCCCCTCAAGACCCCCAGGCATATTTGCAGCAGGGCAGAATTCCCCCCACCCACCCAAGTGTGCTCACACAACCCGCAAAGCCAGAAATGCAGGCGGCAGGAAACTCCCCAGGCTGGACAGCAGGGACCGTTTGGATGGTCTCTGCGTGGCACAGCTGAGGCTGAAAAATCTGTAGAAAAAAAGGCTTTTTACAAGCTCTGTGCACCCGTGCACAGCGCTTATCAGCTGTCCCGGAGGCACAGCTTTCGTTATATTACACGCGCGCGCGCAGCAAAATGTTAAGTACGAACCGGCAGTAACACCGGTTGAATCCCACCCCTGGCTATAGGGTCTCCTATTTGAGCAGGGGGTTAGACTAGAAGACCTCCAAGGTCCCCTCCAACTCTGTAATGCTGTTACCTAATGAGTGGAAGAGATTGCCTTCGGAAGGTGTGGCTGCTCCGTCACTGGAGGCTTTTAAGACGAGACCGGACAGCCACTGGTCTGGACTGGTCACGCAGAGCCCTCGCCCACGCTCAGCTCTGCCGCTCATGCGCGCCTCCCACTGGCCAACTGGCCTCTGGGTCTCTGCTGCGTATGCACAGGGGCGCAGGCAGGGATGCCCGTGGATGCGCCAAAACGGTTAGCCACCACCGGGTCTCCTGCTCAGGCAGGGGGGTGGACTGGAAGACCTCCAGGGTCCCTTCCAGCGCAGTTATTCTGAGGCCCACCTATTTCTGCCCAGAGCCACAGATGTTTTAGGGGGCCTTGTTCCCCCCCCTCCAGAAAGCGGCTTCTGATGGAGCCCCCTTGCCTCCCCCAGCCTACTCTTGGTGCCCCGGGTTTGCCCTGCGCCGTCCTCTGCGGAGGGATCCCCCCCCCACTTCCTCCAAGCGCGCAAAGAGCTCGGCCCCTGGGACGGTCCTGGCATGGACCCCTGGGCCCCGCAGGTGTTGCCCTGTGTCTCAGGTGCCAATTCGGTGCCCGCTGCGCAGGGAACCGGGCAGCAGGGTGGCGCCCCTGGGGCCCTGGACGGCGGCTGCAGGAAAACAAATGAAAGCTCCATCGAGAGAGACGTTGGCAGCGGGTGGAAATCTCTCGTCCACTTGCTGGCTCTGGCCTGGCCCCGAGGCCTGGCTTGTTCTGCCCTGCACCTCCTCCATCGCAGCCCCCCGCTCTGCAAAGCCCGCCCTCTCCTGAACCCCACAAACCTCAGCCCGGATCAGCCTGGGGGCTTCTCCCCTCCCAAGCCCTCCCCAGGTACCGATAGGCGGGCGAAATCCCCTGTAAGCCTGGATATAGTTTTTTTTTCCGCCGCTCCTCCCAAGCAGGCAGAAAAACGATCTCTCTTTTTTGGGGTGAACCCAGAAGTCTGGAATCGTTTTGACATGGAAAAAAACAACCTTCTCCCCAGCCCATAATGGGCCGTCCGTGTTTATTTAGACGGCGATTCCACAGGCGGCTGGGAGGGAGGCGGAAAATCTGTGAAAAAGGGCCCGACGGCCTCCGGCTTCCTCTCCTTAGGAACTGGGGGGGAAATTCGGCAAATCTCCAGAAAAAAAATGGTGAAATTCCCCCCCCCCCCCCCCGGTTCTCTTCCCACCATGCGAGTGGATGGCCGGGCATTCACACAGCCCTAGAACCAACCAAGATTGGGCCAAGCCAAGCAGAGTCTTGGTATAGAGAAATGGGCTAAGGTCTCCTGCTCGGGAAAAGGCTGGACTAGAAGACCTCCAAGGTCCCTTCCAGTTGTGTTATGCTGTTATTCTGTTATCCTTCCTTCCTTCCTTCCTTCCTTCCTTCCTTCCTCCTCCCCCAAAAACCCTCCTCTCTTCTAGCACTGATGTTACCTTGTTAGGTTATGAAACATCTTCAAACAACCAAGCTCAGAGAGCACCAAGGACCCCACAGTCCGTCCGTCCTTCCTTCCTTCCTTCCTTCCTTCCTTCCTTCCTTCCTTCCTTCCTTCC